TATCTTATAGATAGGGTTTTAGTGCCGTCTCTTCATACCACGATTCCGTCGACGTTCTTTGCAGATTCTAGCAGAAAGTTGGGCACTCGTTCTGGACTTCTGTGTTCTTAGGTCCCTCCGGGTCATCACGTGAAATAGCAGCAGGGAAGGTGGCCAGCCAGACTGGCAAAGCTGGGCAGCTCATCTTTGAACCCTGGCAACCGTAACTTCACAGACAACTTTCTTGGAAGATACCCTTTCCGGTAGCTGTCACCCACACCAGGATTCCTTTCCTCAAATCTTAAAATGCAAACAAAAATAGAAACATCTGCTCTTAGGACTTGCTCTGGGAGTTTTCCCAATGGAGTAATTAACTTTATCCAGCAGATCCAGCTATCCTCGTCTGTCCCTTACTTACCCTTATCCAGGGAGAGCTCCTCCTTGTGTCAAATGTGAGAATTCCCGTTGCTTCTGTCCGGGCCCTAACTAATACAACATTAACTAATTTTCCTTATGATCTAAACTCAGAGGGCTATCTAGTATTGCCCACAAGCCCACCCCTGTGTCCAGCAGAGACTGAGGTACGTTCTTGTGCAAGCCTAGTGGGCCCTCTGTGGTCATTCCTTGATTGAAGCATATGTATTAAGTATGCTCTGTGCCACCACCTGGGCTCAGAACTAGGGCAAAAATACAGGAAAAGAAGACACAGCTCCAGCCATTGGGGCCTTTGTCATGTACTCGGTCAGGGGCCTGAGGTTGCAGCTCTTAGGAATGTCCCTTGGTTTTCTTTATTTGTTAAAATGTTGCTAACTGGGGCGCCTGGGTGGCTCAGTTGGTTAAGCGACTGCCTTCGGCTCAGGTCATGATCCTGGAGTCCCGGGATTGAGTCCCACATCGGGCTCCCTGCTCAGCAGGGAGTCTACTTCTCCCTCTGACCCTCCCCCCTCTCATGTGCTCTGTCTCTCTCATTCTCTCTCTCAAATAAATAAATAAAATCTTAAAAAAAAAAAATGTTGCTAACTTTTTGCTGTAGACAGTTGCAAAACTATGTAGGTAGAGAGAGTAAGATAACGATCCCATTTTGCCCATCAATTGCTTCAACCATTACCAACTCCTAACCGGTCTTGTTTCATCTCTATGTCTATCCACCTCCCCATCCTGCCCATCCCCGGGATTATTTTTGAAGCAAATCCTAGATGTCATATCATTTCAGTGGTGGATATTCTGGAATATATCTCTAAAGTATATTTATAAAAGATAAGGTTGTTTTTTAAAATATAACCACAATGCCATTATCACCCTTAATAAGTTAACAGGAATTCCTCAATGTAATCAAATATCCAGTGTTCAGATCTCCCAGATTGCCCACGATGGACTTTTTTTAGGTCATTCGATTCAGGATCTGAATGTGGTCTATACATTACAACTGATTGGTATGTCCCTTAAGTTTCTTTAATAGATAGGTACTTTTGCCAACTCTCTCTTTTTCCCTTTGCAGTTTCTGTGTTGAGAAAGCAGGGTCATTCGCCCTGTACTTTCCCACTATCTAGACTTGCTATTTGTAATCCCATATATTGTTTAACATATTCCTCTGCCACGCATATTTTCTGTAAATTGGTAGTTAGATTTTGTGGCTTGATCAGAATCAAGTTTGTTATTTTTGGCAAGAACACGTTATGATGATTGTCCCTTTCTGATCTAGAGCCACCAGATAGTCCTCCCACAATTACATGATGTTCAGTTAGAGGATGGTTTTTCAGAATGTCTAAAGATAGGAAGGATCCAAACACCTAATTACTCCAAAGGGATTTTCAAAAACAATGATTGTATTAGTTTTTCGTTGCTGCAGCAATAAATTTGCACAAACATAGGGAAGTTTGTGCAAGTTTATTATCTTACTGTTCCACAGGTCGGAAGTTCAATACAGCTCTTCCTGGGCCAAGATCAAGGTGTTGGCAGGGCTGGTTCCTTTCTGGAGGCTCCAGGGAAGAATTTGTTCCCTCACCTTTTCTGGCTTCTCAAGGCCCCCCACATCCCTTGGCTCACAGTCCCCTTCGGTGTTCAAAGCCAGCAACTTGCATCTCCTGACCCTCTTCGAGTCTCCCTCTGACTGCAGCTGGGAAAGAGTCTCTGGTTTGAAGGACTCATGATTACACTGGGCCCACCTGGATCATCCAGAACACTCTCCCATCTCAAATTCCTTAGCCTTAATCACAGCTGCAGAGTTACTTTTGCCATGTAAGGTCTCGTAATCTCAGGTTCTAGGGATTGGGATGTGGACATCTCCAGGGGGCCGTTATTCTGGGTAGCATGATGCTCATCCATTCTTAAAAATTAACACCATTATAATACCGACAGACGATTGATAGAGTGTGGTATGTTGCAAATGATTACGATATCATAGTGACGGGGGTTATGTGATGGAGGGCAGGCTAGGGGCAATGAGCTACGAGTGTGCCATTAGCATAGTTTTGCATGGCTCTGCATAATTGCGTGGGTCTTTATTGTTTCTGTCTCTGTGAGTAGCAGCATTTTCTCTTGCTCATTGTCTCTCGGGTGACCGCACTGCATCCCCTTAGAAATGCCACTGTAAGCCTGGAGGAGCTCAGGTCGTCAGTATGATCATTAATACATACACAGCATCTCTGTTACTTGGACCCTCTGTGTCTTTGGATTATGGAATGGAAACTTATCGTAGCACTTTACCGTAGTGAGGAGGTACCAGGTTCTTACAGAAATGAGCCGAGGAGCACAGAATTTTTGACCCTCGTTCTGTTTTGCATCAGCGAGATAACTTTTTGGTAGTCAAGTCAGCCAGTGAGTCAAGGTGGAGAGAAGAGAGTGCGGTAGTATCAGTTTTTCCATTCATAATCTATGACTCTACCAGATAAAGCGATTTCGGAGCATTCATGATTCTTCTCCTAATTGAAAACTGTAGAGGAGTCTCCATTCCTCTTGTTAAATTGTTTTACCTTTTAATCCACATTGACCCTTGACCCCTGATCCTTTATGTAGATTATTCTTGGGATGCATTTGGAATTTTACTGTAACATCGGCCATCCTAAGGCAGCACTAGGTTGACGATAGATTTACCTTGGAGGCCATCCAAAAGGTTGTTGCTAAAGACCAAAAGGACCTCATTATAAAGTGATTTTGCTATAAAGTGGTCCCTTGGAACAATCCCTGGAGACGGCAGGTCATTTGTATAGTTAAAAATGTACATAGTGTCAAAAAAATGTTACTGAGGGGTCCTTACCTCACACCGTTAGTTTAAATAAATTCCAGATGAATTAACAAGTTAGGTGTAATGGCTTAATTCCATAAAAGGACAAGGAAAAAAATAAGTAAACGTTACTATGCTCTTGGGTAAGAAAAGACCTTTGTGATTTCTGCTTTTGTAGATACGATTTTCTGTGACACAGCCATTTAAAAATCCCCATCAACAAGTGAAGTTGTGAATGGCTTGTTGCCCTCACCTGGCATATTGCTGGGGTAGAAAGAGTCCTTATCATTAGACTCAGCCCCAGAACATTCTTCCCAGTGCACCTGAAAGTGAAGAAGAAAGTTCAAAGAGCCCACCGAGACTGCCCAGTGAAAAACAAAAACAGAAACAAAGAAAATAACATCACATTTTAAAGAAAGGATCTCGAGTAACTTGAATTCTTTTACCTTTACATTTTCAAAATCTAGTGAAGTAATATATCTTCAGTTTTTAAAAGAAAAATGCCATTTTCCTATACATTATTCTGTATCCTGCTTTTTAACTGACCTATGTATCATTAACTTCTTTTAACATCAAAATGTTCATGTATGATATCATTTTTAATAGCTATCTAGTGTTTTACTCATGAATATACTATATGTTTTTAAACAAATCCCTGTGTTTGGGCATTAGATAGTTTCCAATTTTCCACTACTATACATGTATGCCTCTGGGGTCCAATCAGGAAAAAGATTTGAACAGGGAAAATGTAATATTTTTATTAACCTGAGCAGGGGAGTAGAGGAACAAGGCAGGATACTCAGTGACTGGCAAACCTAAGTCCTACCGGCCGCTCTGGGGGAGGGACTGCTGGTCGACCAGGGCCCCAGGACACTCAGTGGCCAGCGAGCCCAAGTCCCACCGGCCACGTGGTGGTGGTGGGGGGGCAGTAGCTGTAAGCACTGCAGGAGCTTGTCGAGGGAGCAGGCGGGAGCCCAGAAGCCAAACACCATCCTTCTGCCGAGTCTCTGCAGTCCCGCCTATTGACAGAGCTGGCAAAGGAGAAAATACTTAAAGGATCCAGATGCATTTTCACTGAACAGCCAAAAAGGGTGACTTTGGGACTGAGAGGCAATAAACTGATAACCAGCCTAGGAAATGTTTCAGGGAATATCCTTGTAAATACTTCATTGCATACCGTCTGAATGTTTTCTTACGTTTGTACACATGGAATTGAGAGATGAAAAGTTGGCACGATTTGCTCTGTAGAAAGGTATGTTTCCTGTCCTCCTGTGACAATTCTTAGGAGCTTCTCCTTCACACGTTTGTTAACCCTGGGCATTAGCATGCATTTCAATCCTTCCAAATATGATAATCCAAAAAAAATCTCATCATTGTTTCTTACCGATATTTTTTAAAAATCAGTGCTCTCCAGACTTTTATTTATTTTTCCTTTGGTATTCTTTTGTGAACTTCATGTCTCTATCCTTTGCCCATTTATAAAATTGGAATATTTTTCTTACTAATCTGCCTATGCTCTTTATGTATTGAAGTTTAAAACGTTGATGTAGTCAAATCTTATCTTATTTCATTTGTAATATTTAAAATTTTAATTTATCTGGGAATCATTTTAGTTTAAGGTATGAGGTAGGTATTTCATATTTTTTTTCTTTATTTTCTCTTTAATATTAACTGTTTTTTCTCTTTTCCTGACCTAAGTGTTATTTTTACAGTATATTGAATTGTATTACATGCCTGGGTATGGACTTCAAGTTGTTTTCCTTTGGTATTTAGTGGCCTCTTTTACTTTTTCTTTCAGAACAGGATGCAGGCCTGGATGCCCTGTCCTCTATTATAAGTCGCCAGAAACAGATGGGGAAGGAAATTGGGAATGAACTAGATGAACAAAACGGTAAGAACATGTCTGGGGTTGACCACGTTTGCCGTTTAGCATAAATACTAAAGGCTCGAATATTTGTTAAATGATTTTAATACTACAAAACACGTAGTTTAGCATTGATGGATTATTACAGTTCAACACAGTTGAGGGTGCTTTGTGGCAGGTTTAGATTCTAGTTAGCTGAACACTATGTAAAAAAATTTGGTAAGAAATTTCTAGTCCTTTGTCGCTGCTTTAAAAAATACTTTGTTTTATGAGCCACATGTCCCAGGAGCTTTACCTTTATGTGATAATGGGATGAAATTGCTCAGAGTGTCATACACTGGTGTGTGGCACTTCGGGCCGCGGGGACCCTGTGTCATCCACATACCCAGTGGAGCTGGCTCCTCTTCCCTCATAAATTCCAGACTGTGGGACAGTGCTTGAAGATCTCTGTTCAGGACTTGATGTGACAGGTCTGGTTGGAGCAAGATTAATTTGCAAACCACAGCAGGATGGCTTGGGGAAAACAGAGCTTTGTTGGGGCCTACCTGAAAAGTTCCCATGCTTGGGGCATGTGGTGCGAGGGGACAGGGCCTGGTAGGAGCCCTGCGGTGGTTGGAATGGAGAGGAAGAGGACAGAGGCAGGTGACTGATGGTACTTGTACTGTGATGGACAGTTGCGGGGCCGGGGGGCCAGTGGTCTGTAAGTGGAGATCCCAAGTCCAGTTGGGACATGTCCAGTTAGAGATGCCAGTGAGCCATCCGAGTGGCAGTGTTGAGTAGACAGTTGGAGGTTTGGTACCAGAGCTCAGTGAGAGCACAGGACCAACAAGAAGGGATGTCAGAAGTTTCTGACATGTGGAGGTGACGTGTGAAAGCATAGGAACGATGGGGTCTCCATCTGTGTCATTGCATTTAATCAGTACGCAGCATCATGAAGGTGACGCTAGCCCTCTTTGCTAGCGATGGAGCTCAGAGTGGCTGAGGGGCCTCCTAATGTCATATCACTTGTAAGTGACAGCATCGAAATTCCAGCACGGGTCATCTGATTCTCGTGACTGCTTTTTCTACCACATTGCCCTTCCTCTCTGAGGAAGACAACAGAAGGAGAGAAAAGTGGGAGGTTCTAAGGTTTTAGCTCTGTTGGCAGTGCCATGGAGGCTCACGGTGGCATGGCTTTCAAGAAAAATGACCACAGACCTGGGAGCACGGCAGCCCTGGGAATGGACGATGCTCACTCTGAGGGCAGGGCTGCACCTGTCAGAACTCTACAGCAAGTATTTCTTGTCTCGATCTCCATAAAGAATGAGTTCCTTTCTTCCCCTAACAGTACTGCATTTATCATAAATAAATAAATTCATTTATTTATAAGTAGATTGCTAAAGCAAATGGAGAAACCCTCTATCTTTATAATGCTAATAGTGGTTATTACTAGTTTAAGCACAGAGGGGAGGATATTTGAGTCCTTTTCCTGATGGTGCTAACATGAATGTACTAATTAATATATTTGCGTATAATTCAGTGATTGGCCAGTTCCTTCCTAGAGAGAGTGTTAGTAAGAAACTAAGCTCTAGAGAAAATCTGCTCATCATAGGTATAATTGTTCTTTAAAAAAAAAAATTTATTAATTTTAGAGAAGGAGGAGGGGCAGAGGGAGAGGGAGAGAATCTTAAGCAGGCTCCTCACTGAGTGCCCAGGCCTACCTCAGGCTCAATCCCACGACCCTGAGATCATGACCTGAGCCAACCCAATAAGCCACCCAGGCGCCCCTGATCATTCTTTCTCTAAAGGAAATATAGCCTATTTAGCGGTCAGACTAGGAAGGATTCTAGCCACCAGGATGGTGAAGCATGCCCATCCTGTGATGTGCCTTGGTAAGCCACTGTGTAGTCATTTCTGGGTAGGTGGCTAAGAACGGATGGTACATTCTTTGGTGGGTGACTTGCTGACTTCCCGGGTGAGATCACCATGCATCTTTCCAGCATAAGCAATCATACCAGCATGTCCTTGTCTTGTCTTCCCTGTAGTCTGGTGGTTATCATACTTTGCTGCCCATTAGAATCACCCGGGGGGCTTTTAAACTCCTGGAAGCTCAGGCCATCCCAGTGTTTTAGATTTCTTTTATTGTTGTAACAAATTACCACAAACTTAGTGGCTTAAAAACAACACACATTTATCATCTTATAGTTCTGGAGGTCAGAAATCTGACCCAGATCGACCTGGGCTAAAGAAAAAGCAAGGTGTGGGCAGGGCTGCATTCCTTTGTGGAGGCTCCAGGGGAGAATTAATTTCCTTGCCTTTTCCAGCTTCTAGAGGCTTCCTCCATTCCTTGGCTCATGGCCGCCTCCTCCATCTTCAGAGCCAACACCAGTGAACTGAGTCCTGCTAAATCACATCACCCTGACCTTTAACTTCTGTCTCCCTCTTCTGCTCTTAAGGACCTTTGTGATTCCATCTGGCCCACCCAGATAATCTAGGATAATTTCCCCATTTTAAGGTCAGTTGGTTAGCAATGTTAATACCTCTTGGCCATGTACTATAACATATTTACAGGTTCCGGGGACTGGAATGTAGACACCTTCCAGGGACCATTGTTCCACTCCCCACACTACTTATACCAGTTAGACTAGAGTCTCCAGGGGTGGGGCTCAAGCTTCCACATCTTTAAGGCTTCCCAGATGTTTCATTGTGCTGCCGAGTTTGGGAACCAGTGTCTCCATTGAATGTGAGCACTCTCCGTTCATGTTGTCTCTCCCGTGCCCACATTGCAGCTACAGATCCCACTCACGTGCACAGAAGTACACGCAGAGTTACATAGACAAACACGTACCATCCTCACCATGGTTCTGATCTCATATTTTACCCCCATCCTTTTCCCTTCTTCCTCCATACCTCCCAGTCCTCAGCTCCGTCCCAGCCCTGGATGCATACATGTGTACATAGGCAAACAGGAGGTATTTTTCCACTTAGTTGCCAAAATAAGCTGTGTTTTCTCTGTGGTGGCCTCCCAGAGAGATTGCAGTTATGCTGGTGGTTTTCTAATGTGCACATTTGCTCCTCAGAAATAGGGCAGAGTCAGCCATTTTCCTTCAGAGGGACTGAGAGATTCTCTGAGGATAAAAAATTATATCCCTGCCAAGACTACAATCAGCCTTTATTCCTTTTGTCAAAAGCAAAAAGGCCATTATATCCGTAGGTATTGAGAACAGGGTGGCAGCCCCATCTGGATTTTTATTGTGACCTGAGTGTATAATGAGGAGCCAGGGACACTGGAGAAGGATGCCACTTTTGTTGTAAATATCTCTATTTGATTTACTGACCTACTGAATTAGTCTTTTGGTTTTCATTAAATGAGAAAAACAATAGGGTAAGATAATGGCCAGCTGGCTCTTTTGGAATCAACTACCAAAACCTTACTAACAAAATACATTGTATTTAGGACATAACCACAAAGCTAATTATCATCAGTTTAGGAATTTGGGTTCCAGTCTTCTCACATAGATTTAAAAAGGGCCAGACCAACACCAGTAACTGCCCTGTTCATATGCCGATGACCAAGCCTAATGAGGGAAAGGATTAGCAGTTAAGTGAAAATCCCAGTACTGGAGACCTAAACTGTGCCTGGGACTGAGGGTTGGGGAACCGAGCCAAGGAGATCACCTTGTGGAAATACAGAGTTCAGTGCCCTTCAGTTCAAGCCGAAATGTATGGATGGCTGGGCACAAAGGGCTCATGTCAGACTACCCAGGTGCCGTTCCAGAATGGGGAGTCATGGTGCTGGTTTACCAAACCGTTCCTTAAAGTTCATGCTCAAGAGGACAGGGCCTTTTGAAAAGAGCACTAACACAAGAAAATGATTGGGATTGACTTGACTAACATAGTAGTTCCTGAGACCTCATTTTGGCATTGGCCAAACCTTAAGGTCATCACCAAGAAAGACCACAGAGGCATGGTTCCGATGGTAGAAACAGCACCAAGAACAGACTGTTCCATGAAGTTTTGCTAATGTGTGCCAATCCTCATCATTCTTTTTGATGTTCAGATGTCCCAAATTTGGCCCAATCCTTCTGATGCTTCTCTCTTAACCTTTGAGCACTTCCTTGTTTTCTGAAAGAAACCAAAATGACAAAGAGGGACATCTGCCTTCACAGTGTCAGTACTAAGATTGAGGAGACCAGTGTGTCCTTTCAAAGAGCTAGAAAATATGACTAATGTCCTTGAAGGACATAAGATGACCAAAGATTTCATATACACATCAGTGAGTTGCCATTGTAAAGGTCTGTTAGAGCCCCTCAACTGAATTTTCATGTTGAACATTTAAGAAAGTAATGTGGTAGACTGAATAACAGCCCCCTCCCCCCCCCCAAAATATGCACGTCTTGATCCCTGGAATCTGTGAATGGCACCTTATTATGGCAGAAGGGACTTTGTTGATGTGTTAATAATAAATTAAGGATATTGAGACAGGGAGATCATGCTGGATTATGTGTTTGGGTCCCAAAATGTGATCACAAGTGTCCTTATAAAAGGGAGGCAGAGAGATTTGAGGCAGAAGAAGAAAAGGTGGCGACTGAAAAGATGCTATTCTGCTGGTTTTGAAGATGGAGGAAGGGGCCACAAGCCAAGGGATACAGGGAAGCTGGAAAAGGACAGAAAATGAGTTCTGAGCCCCTGAAGGGACACCTTAACTTCAGTCCAGTGAAACTGACTTTGGACTTCTGATCTCCAGGACTATAAGGGAATGAGTGTGGTTTTTTTGGGGGGGGAGGGCGGGTAGTGGGTTTCTTTTCTGGGTCTTAGATCACACTTTATTCCAGAACATGCATATATTTGACTCCTAGAAAACCTGGTGCATACTATTGGGGAGGAAGAATTTTCCTCTGTCCTTCAAGGTCCTTCCAGCTGGACTGGAAATCAAACTGACGTGAGAGATTTACAGGAGAAAATCAAATTTAGTTTGGTACATACAGGGAATTCACACAGACATGAAATTTGAGTGTGTGTTAAGCCCCTAAGTTTGTGATAATTTG